CTCAGATGAGTGGAAGGGAACAACGTAGCTTTGTTGTTCTATACCAGAGACGACCACGTCATTTTTGGGCCTGGGCCTGAGATTGCTGTCCAATTCCGGTTTATGGAAATTGAATTTTAAAACGGTTTATTTCTACTCAATTCGGTTTGGATCTGGGTTCGTTTTGATACAAGCAATTGAAAACCAAACCGGTTTGGCTGACATTAGAACAGAACAACAAAGACATTACAGCCAAAGCAACCAAGGGTAACTCTGATTAAGCCAAAATGCAAAAAAACATTTTCGTTGGAGAGATCTGAGTCAAGGACCAAACAAGTTTTCATGCTCCATACTGAGTTAACTGTCATCGGTATTCGGCTTCTTTGATTCTCCATTTTCACACCATTCGACATCTTTCTTATAGTCTTCTGAAAACATGGAAAATGATTCTCTTAAAGAGTCATGAGTTGATTTATATTATCCAAATCCAATGTTTTTGCATCTATCATATTGGGCGTTTTTAGGCTATCTAGCTCGTCTTTCATTCAAAGCAGAAATGAAATGATGAGTGATCTCTCTCCTAAACCACCTAACAAGCTTTAGCACCTAGATGAGTTAAGAACATATGATGACTCACCGCGGAGGGAAATCCAGCGTTATATCAGAGTACTTAAGCACTCGTGCTCGGTGCTTAAACTACTTCAGAGCATTACTTTACATATATTATGTCTTCCTCGGGATCATCCATTTCCCAATCTTGATCATCCTCTCGTGAATCAGATGGTTCTGGTACCCCTTCTTCTCCACCATCACCGCTTCCTTTCTCAGCTTTTAGTTTGTCCAGTATTGCAATTACCTGAAAAGAATCTCTGAATCAGTTTCTGACAGTAAACTTGGATGTAACTTGTATGCATAAATGCACATGATACAGTTCCTTCACTAACTAGCAGCAACTAGCAATTTCCGGTTTCTAATATAACATGGAAAAAGAGTTTTTATCTGAAGAATCATCAAGATCAACAAGGTCATTACTATGCAGACTAGATGTTCCACAAAGAGGGCAAGCTATAGATTTTGATAGGCATCATTGAGACCATTCAATTGCAAACTGCAGATTAATGCAGGAATATAGTTCGTTTGTAGTGAACGATATATAGAAGCCTTACCCTGCTTCCTCTTTCCATGGATTCATCCTCGATAAACCTGACCTCAGGCGTCAATCTCAACTTCATTCGCTTCCCAAGCTCACTCCTAACATACTTAGCTTTCGATTTCAACCCCGCAATCGCAACATCTTTCCCTCTATCATCCCCAAACACGGATACATACACTTTGACCACCTACAATCCCCATAAGTAAACCATTTCAGCTTGTTAAATCTTATCATAGTACCCACCTCTCAAATACTACACACAAGACCACAAATTGCAATAACAAAGCCTTATCAAGAACCGTCCAAGGTCACAATATAACATAAGTTTAAATCAAAGATCAAGTCAAGCAGACAAAAGGGCATATGATTTAAGAACCAAAGATTTCGAAAGTCCCTAAATTTCTACTTTATCAGCATAAAAAGAGCAAGATCCACATGAATACAACATACAAAGGAGTTTCCAATTAGGGTTTTTTCTCACCTGCAAATCATTAGAGACCTCAACATCGCTAATCGTGGTAAGAGAAGAGAGGTAACGGTCGGCTCCAAGTGCAGCTTCAGGCAACACGGCGTGTTGCAAAACCGTGTCTGTGAGAAGCATGTCGGAGAGTTCCCTCATTATCTGTTTAGCAACCATCTTCACTCTCCTCGGATTCGCCATACATTTTACGCTCCGGCGCACGGAGAGATTCGTACGGAGGTTAATCGGAGCCGTTGATTGCGGGAAATGGAAAGCTTGCGACATGGAATGGACGGTGGAGATTGGCGGATGGAGAAGGAAGAAGAAGTGAGATAGATGTGTGTGGAGTAGTACGTTAGGCATCGCCACTAGTAGATCGTTGAATCTTTCCTCTGTTCTGTGAAATGGGTTTAGGACAAAGGAGAAGGAAGTAACAAAACAAGAACAATATCCAGTAGAGATGGATCTGAGGGTAAAATTGTAATTTAAACAATCCACGGTAGTGACGTGGGAGAGTTGAAACCAGCTTCGCTATGGTTTATTTAGATGTTGAATCGATGAAAACCGGTTTGATTTCGAAATAACCAAATTGAAAACCGTCATTTCATGGTTTTGGTACAAATTCATTTTCAGAAACTCTGCTTAAAGAAACTTTGCAATGAAAACAGCAAAGAGAAAAGATTTGAATTCTAAAATGAGACAATGGAACAAAAACCTTGCAAAGATTCAGACAAGAACAAGCCCTTGCCCATCCCAAATAGTAAAATATGCAGTAATTAGGTCAAATGGAATCACAAATTCAACAAGATTTTTCGTCATCATATTACTCCATTAGTACCCAAAATTGTTGGTATGCAGATCTCAGCTATCTACCGAACCCAACCTCCTTCGATGTTGTTCATTCCTCCAACGAGACCATCATCGATAAAATCACCTCCTCCTCGCTTCACCTTGTCTTCCGTAGGCTTCACTGGATAGTTCCCGGTGAAGCACGCATAACAGAAGCTTTTAGAATCTTCACCCAAATGTTTCTTCAAAGTCTCAATCGACAAAAACGCAAGAGAATCACATCCGATGTAATCCCTTACTTCATCAACATTCATCCTATTCGATATCAACTCCTCTGAGCTAGGAGTGTCCACACCGTAGTAACAAGAAGCAATTATAGGAGGACTCGCGATCCTCATGTGAACCTCTTTCGCGCCTGCTTCTCTCAATAAACGCACAATCTTGGAAGAAGTCGTTCCTCGAACAATCGAATCATCCACAACAACAACTCTTTTCCCTTCTAAAACTCCTCGGACTGGTGAAAGCTTCAGCTTCACTCCAAAGTCTCTGATTTTCTGAGACGGCTCAATGAAAGTCCTTCCGACGTAATGAGACCTAATCAAACCTTGCTGAAACGCAACCCCGGCTTTAGCAGCGTAACCAAGAGCAGCCACAACACCAGAGTCAGGCACAGCAATGACCACGTCGCAATCAACAGGTGACTCAGTAGCCAATATCTCACCAAACACATGCCTAGACTCATACACAGACCGACCAAAGACGATCGAATTAGGTAACGAGAAGTAAATATGTTCGAAAATGCATTGCTTAGGCTCAGGATGAGGCATCAAACACTGAGATTTCACACCGTCTTTATCAACAACTAAAACCTCACCAGGATAAACCTCTCTCTCATAAGTAGCTTCAATCAAATCAAGAGCACAAGTCTCAGAAGCAAACACAACAGCTCCGTTACTTCTCCTACCCATAACTAAAGGCCTAAACCCATGTGGGTCACGAACAGCAACAAGCTTATCCTCAGTAACAAAAACCATTGAATACGCACCTTGTAGCTTCTCACAAGCATCAACAATCCTCATGAAAAAAGGTCTAGCTTTAGAAATCGCAATCAAATGTAACACAACTTCAGTATCTGAGCTAGTATTGAAAATCGAACCGTTTTCTTCCAAATCAGCTCTCAATTTCGTGTAATTGACTAAATTCCCGTTATGTGCAACACCAACGGATCCAAATCGATAACCCGCAACAAAAGGCTGGACATTTTTGAGCATGGAAGAGCCAGCGGTTGAGTATCTTACATGACCAATCGCGATGTCTCCTGGTAATTGGTCGAGTTTGGACTCGTTGAAAACCTCAGAGACCAAACCAACACCTGTGATTGTCTGAAGAACTTTATCTTTACTAACTGTTACAATACCTGCACCTTCTTGACCTCGATGCTGAAGCGCGTGGAGAGCTAAGTAACAGAGACGTGAAGCTTCTGAGTCGCCGTAGATTCCGACAACTCCACACTCCTCACGTGGCTTC